TTACCAGGTCTTGTTTAAGCCAAGCCATGTGGCCTTGCCAGGAGGATGGGTACTGTGCCACCTGCTTGTACCTGAAATTAAATTATCTTTAGTTATCACGACGTTATCATTCACCTGGTGATGGGTGTGAGATGGTTTCAGCAGTTACTGGAGGAAGTTGGCCAAATCTGCACAGCCAAGATGGAAAACAGGGAAATGATTGCATCCTGTATACTCAGTTAAAATGTCTGGTTTCAAGCTCCCACAGCTTTGTTGCATTCACATCTTCTTTTGTTGTTGTGGTTGTTTGTTATGAGAATATTCCCAAGAAATTTCAGAGGCTTTCCAGGTTGCTTTGCTCCTGGTTTTTGCCTAGTAGAACCTCTGAGAATCTTCAGATTTAGAAGACACTGTTAAAGGTTGGTTCTGAGAATCTTCAGATTTAGAAGACACTGTTAAAGGTTGTCTGGTCCGACTTCTGTACAATGAATGAGGACCCAGAGCTCCATCAGTGCACATAGCCCCTTTCCCTGACCTTGGGTGTCTGCAGGGACAGGGGCACCACCACCTCTTTGGGCAATCTGTGGCTGTGTCTTACCACCCTCATTGTAAATAACTTCTTCCTTCTATCCAGTCAAATCTCCTCTCTTTTCTCCTATATAGTTTCAAAGTAAAGAACAGATTAGTTTTTTTTCAGTTCAGTTCATGCCAGATGATCATTTAGGATGAATTACCAACTTCTTCCTAAATCAGGCTAGGTGACTCTGCAAAGAGGTATGGGATTAGTTTAAGAGGGATACCATATGAAGAGTATGTCAGCACTAGCAAGACGGATATTAGCGTGCCAGCAATTTCCAACGTAAATACCACACCTCTGCATTTTTCAGCAGAGAACCCTTGAAAATATGCTTATCTTTCAGACTGGCTCTTAATACAAGCATTAAAAAAAATCTGTAGGAAAACCTAGAATACAAGTATTTGCCCTGCTGGCTTCGAGAGCTTGAACTCCACTGGCCTTCAGTACCTTGAGTCACAACCTGTTGCCTGAAGCTTCTGATAGGAGAAATCTGTTTGATAATATAAACACTGGTGTGTGCACCTCACTTCCATTTCAAGGTGAGCTTGCAGTATAAAGAGCTGCATTTCCTCTGGCAGCAATCTCATCGTCAGATCCCGCAAGAATGAAGACTCTTGGTGTGCTGTTCTTGCTGTCGGGTGCGTAAGCAGCGCGCACCCCTCTCAGCATCCCCAGCCTGCTGCCTCCATACCTAACACTAACCTTTGTGCTTCTCCTCAGTGGTGGCTGCCATCGCTGCTGTCTCACCTCGTGCGCTATGGGAGTTCCGCAGCATGATCAAATGCACCATCCCAGACAGCTATCCTCTCCTTGAGTTTAATGACTATGGCTGCTTCTGTGGCTATGGAGGCAGTGGAACACCTGTGGACCAACTGGACAGGTTTCTACAACTCTGCTGTTATAAATCTCTTTCCTCACTTCTGCTTTTGTGGTTCTGCATGTCAGCTTCTCCTCAGCCCTGTTTGCAGACAGGTGCTCCATGGGCATCAGGCATTGATGGGGACACAGAGTAATTGCTGCCTTTTGCTGTCCTGAGAGCTGCTGCAGTAAGCAGTAGCAGGCATCTCAGGGAACGTGGGCTGGCAGGGGAGGAGTTGGACTTGATGGTCCTTGTGGTCAGGATATTCTATGAGGTGAGGCCTTTCAGGGTCCTTTGAGCTCTCAGCTATCACTGAATATTTGGAGGGTTTGGTGTTTCATGTGTTCAGTGCCTTGTCAGAGTCTATTTACAAATAGTCACACACTTACACAGCCCACAAGTCAGCTGAGTTTGCACTTCAACATCTTCTGACCTTTTCCTGTGTTTCCCAGGTGCTGTCAAGCACACGACCAATGCTACACCAGGGCAAAGTCGGTGTGTGCTGCCTCCAATGATACCCCCTACACGAAGACATACAAGTACTCCTGCGAGAACAAGGCGATCACTTGTAGCAGTACGTCCTGCCTTGATTCCCTGCCATGCTCTGTGTCACTGTGCCTTCCTTGTCTGGAAGGAGTGGGGCTGCATGGCCATGGGTGCGGGAGGGATGTGCAGAGGGAGGGATGTGCAGCGGGAGGCCCTGCCAAGTGCAGCACCACAGTGATGCTGCCTGTATGGTGTGCAGAACAACAGGAACCTCGTCCTCTCCAGGGGTGCAGACAGGAGCTGTGGGCTCAGTGGGGAACATGGCACAGCTGTGCCA